TCAATAGTTTCAAGTATGGGAACAATTGAGAGTGATAGTTAGATGAATCAGGGATCTAACATGAATGTGCCACATTGGTTTTTTGGGCCATATCACAATTAGTAATGATCCCAATAGGTTATATAGGATGACTAAGCATCACTTCGGTTATTTTGAAGTTTTATTGAATTCAATTTAATTTTTAACTATTTCTAATATAACTATGTGATTCTTTTCTTTATTTTGCAATTCAAGTATCCGAATGGGATTTTGTTGTGTTATTTGGTCTTGAAGGTGTGGAAAAGCCAGACCCTACAATCTATGAGAATGTGCACCAGGTATTCTTTGGAGATAGCTTAGGAATGCATGTGTTGTTGCTTCCCGTGACTGATATGTGCTTTTGCTGTTATTTTTTTTTATTTATTTGGATTGCTTTACATGATGGTTAAACCACGAGATGCTTTCTATAACTAATATGTATTTTTGTTGTTTGTTAAGAATTAGTGTTATATATTAGTTGGCTATTTATATATATATATATCTAGAAATTCTCACTTCTCTACTATTCAATATACAGGTTACCAAGAAAAGACTAATAAAGCTTTAGTGGCAAAAATCATTGGATAAGTAGTGTAGTGTACTTATTTATTTTCTGGTTGCAACTGGATAACAACTTTGGTGAAGTCCATACACACTGAGTACTCAATTCCACCAATTAATTTAATTGGCCCCATTAGATGATGAAGGGTTGCAATCAAATGATCATGATGGGCAGCAATTTAGTGGTGAAGGGGGCATATGAATTAGATGCCAATCTCAAGGATGAAAACCTGAAAAGTGACAACCTATGGATATGAGAAAAAGAAATTATCCCCTTCTTTTACCTTCCTTTGTTAATTTCCACCCATTAACAAATGTTCAACCCCAACCCACCCAATTTGCAGCTCTACTTTATTCCTTTATTCATGAAATTTGCTTTTCTGATTTTTTTGATCTCTGAATGTAAAGTTATTGATCGGGTACATGAATGCTGCAACCTTTGAGAAATGGCTATTTTTACATTAATAAGTAATTACAAATTATTATTTAAGAAAAATAATTACATAAATTAATAAAATAAGTAATTAATTACGTAACTAACAACATTCGATGATAGAAGTTAGCGATTTGTTTAGAAGCACTACCGAAATGCTCTTATCTCCGAATGCTTTTCATCTTTCACTTATAATGATTAATGATCCATATAGTCATAGACTCACATACACAAACATGGTTCAACAACAACAAAGCTAACTAATAATCTGGTTAGTAAGAATAAACATTCGTTAAAAAAAAGTGGGTTTTAGAGCTTTAGCTTGGAATTTAGATGCTAGATCGGGATATACACACATTTTGAAGTTCCTATCTATATTGTTGGAATCATGTTTTCAAATTTATAGGTCAAAGTACCAAAAAAATTAAAAATAAAAAATAAAAAATCTGCTCTTCTTTTAGAACTGGTTTGTATATTACAGGTTCTTCAACGTCTTGACACAATCATCAAGGTTGTGTATTGACCAAACAAAACCCATAGGAGATATTTAATAATCTTTCATTCCCATGTGTATTGACCAGAATCCCATGGCTGCATGGATGCACAGACCAATCATGATGCTTCAATATATATTGAGATCCCTTTCCATAGATATTAATACATTGATTTATACTTTGTACACCAAAATCAGGTACAAATTAAAAGATAAGGAAAACATAAGAAAAAAACATTTAGGTGGTTGGCCAAGTTTAAGTATGAAACTAAGTATGAAACCTGTTATACTTTCCCATGAATTCAACTACCTCTATAAAGAATTCAACAAAAATGAATTTACAGTTGAGATTAGAGGAATATATAACCTGTTATAAGTATGAAACTAAAGAAAGAATAAGAAACATTTGGGTGGTTGGCCAAGTTTAAGTATCTTTGCAACAAGTCAGCACACAGTCATCTAGGAAGTTGGTAAGCTGAGAAGTATGTAGATTGGTCATTTCTGAAATGCTCAATAATTAAGGAATTTAATATATTAGGTATTTCATTTGACAAGTAATAGTAATACTACCCTGAATTCGTATCAGTATCATAAACTATCTCGTTAAACAAGAAACATAATCATACCAGTATTAGACTAGACCAAAATTCAATGATGAGTGCATTCAACCATCATTCAACCCAAACCCCAACATGAAGCAACCCTCCCAAACCCCAACATTCAACCAACTTCTTTTACTGGAATTCTTTTAAAAATCACAAAGAAATATTATTGGTATCTATAACAGAGTGGAATGAGAAGGAATAAGGGTTTGATGTAACACATTAGTGGGAAGACGATTGGGATGAACACTTAACAACTAAAATCAGGTGTACATATAGTGAAGCAAAAAAATAGATACGGTTTAGGTATAATGGTTCAATCTGGAGAAGCAAAAACTGTTAGAAAAAAAGCAAAAATCTCGATCCCTTAATTATTGCAGCAAATAACTAACACCAGAAACAATAAACAGTAACTAGGGCTTTAGGGTTCAAAATCATTAGAGGTTAACATTTTAACATGTTGTCCGTGCCTTGTCCGATGCCCAGTGGTTGCAGCAGCGTTGGTGATTGCAGCAGCGGCCCGGATGGAGTGTTGGGTTGTCGATTTGGAGGAAGAGGGAACAAGAGGGAACAAGAAAACTGAGGGGAGAGGGAGGGAGGGAGAGAGAGAGAGAGAAAGAGAGAGAAGGAGTAACCGTCACCGGCGGTCGATGTCCAGTGGCGCAACCGTCACCAGTGGTCGGTGTGGAACAGGAAGGGTGAGAGAAAGGAATGCTAAGCAGATGATGTGAACTCCTACGCAGGAGGGAGGGCAAGAGAAAGAAAGGAGTACTGGTGGGTTTTTCAAAACATAGTAAAAATAATAAAATAAAAAAATGGTCGTTAGTTTCAGCCTTCCACACCTCCATTACAAACCAATGATGTGTTAAATTCGCATTAGTGGTTGTAGAGTTTTTTCTGCAACCACGATGCAAAGGATGTGAACTCCGTTTGGAACGTCTTTAGTTGGCAGGTGATCCGGCCTCCTGAGTGTAGGGGTGTCCATGAAAAACCGAAAAACCAAACCGCAAAATGTGGTTAACCGAACCGGTCGGTTTGGTTTTGGTTTGAAATTTTTGAAAAACCGAAGGACCGGTTCGATTTTCGGTTAACCTATAAAAAAACCGACGGTTAACCGGACCGACCGGTATATATATTTATATGTATATTTTTAATATATGTCACATATTTTCTATGTATTTTATATAAATATATATTCATTATATATAAATATATAGTTATATTATATTTATAATGATCTATTTACAAATATATTATATATTTTTAAAATATTTATAATATATTATATATCATTTATTATTTATAATATAATATTATACATATATTTATATAATATATATTATAAATATAAAAAATCGAAAAACCGAACCGATCAACCGGTGGTACTGGTTCGGTTTCGGTTTGGCGAAATGAAAAAACCTGTACCACTAGTTCGATTAACCGAACCATGGACACCCCTATCTAAGTGCTACTTGGTTACAATAAGGGTTAAGGGTGTGCCTACTAGATCCAGACTCGCTTTCAGCACCATCAGTAAATGCTTATTTTGATTTGAGGTGGTGTTTCAAGTTTCATCAATCCGAGTACTATTGTACACAATGTTTTCAACTCGCTGTTGACCCGGTTGGACGAATCGTTCGAACCGTCACCCGATCAGGATTCTGGGTCCAATTCAGTCAAGACCCATCATATGGTAAAAAACCGTTGACTTGGTCAAGAACCGTTCAACCCAACTTATTCGACCATTGACCTTTTCAACCCAACCCGGTGACCATGTCACGAGTTGCACACTGAATACATGCAAACTTTCGGAGGCCATAACTTTGCATTCCAATGTCCAATTGGGGTGATTTTTCTTTTCTTTTTTATTTTGGGTAACTTTTCAAGCCCCGCTATTTTTTTGGAAAAAAACCCTTTTCTAACCTCGAAATGCAATTTTTAGTATTTTTTATAAATAAAAAATTAAAAATTGAATTAAAAATATATATTAAATATAAAATAATACATATAACATATCTAAAACATATTTATACATTATTTATTACTAAAATATATATTTATGTATATGCAATGATGTGGCAATCTGAACCGTCCGGCCCAGCCGGTCAAACCAATGACCCACAACCCGGAGGCAAAAACAGTTCAGCCTCTGGATCGGTTTTTAAACATTGGTTGTACACATTTTTTCTACAAATACATTGCCCCGATCCAAATCCAAATCCATATGGAATCCAAACGGAAAGTTATTTCTGACTTCCGTTACTACAATATTAACCAAAAAACACCCGTTTTCACCGTTCAGTTGTCAGGCAAACCCCGAACTCCACTGAAGCCATAAAACGCTCAGGTTAACGCAACAAGTCACTCACCTTCTGTCTTGCCTATGAGTGCACGGGATATATTTCCAAAATTTGTGCAAGGGTCCATGTTTTATTCTTCCATCTCTGCAAACTGGAAAATCCAGCTCTTCTGAACTTTGCCCATTTCAGGAAAGAACCCATCACCATAACAAGACTGCTGAGTGCAAGCTAAAACAATATTAAGTCGTGTACGTCATGCTTTGATGAGATATTCTTGAACCCCCCCCCCCCATCAGCACCGCACTGTAACTGGCTGTGATTTTTACTGGTAACTGACTAAATGGTAAAACTGATGGGAGTCTTCACATAGCTTGTTCCCAGTTCCCACCTCCCAGGTACCCACTATATAAGTTTCCGGTCTCTTGTGATTGAGCCGGAGCTCGAGTAGCGGCTATTACCACAAGCCAAACAGGAAACTTCCTCTTCTCATGAGTGATCAATCTGCAATTGGACGGATGGAATTAGTTATGGCCTGTCCCAATGCACATTTCCTGTCGCCTTTCCGGTTTTAGAATCAAGCAACAACAGAAAAATGGATCAACTCTCTAAAAGAATTTTTTTACCCACCAAATAGGAAGGTCCTGTGTTTGTAACATTATACAAGTAATCAGAAATTTAGAATGTTTCACCATTGGTTGAATATACAATGTATACTTGATCATTCTATCAAAACTTTCCTCCGACTGTATTCAGGAGAGGAAGTACTACTTCAGCATAAACTGAGAAGAGACCTTGACTCAATTGCCAGAACTCGTATTCATTCAACAATTTTTTATTTTTCTTTATACAATTCTTATTTATTTCATTCCCTTCTCCATTAATTTTTTTTACTCTCTTCGGAAGATGTCACAGATTTTCTAATACAATCTACAATACCTTCACAATCTGCCTGAGGAAGGATGCAAACCAAATCATCTTCATTGGCATCTTCAGGACATGAGTGTGGTGAACGAAGGTTGCCACGAGTCTGACAAGCCCTCATTGTCTTGCAATGTTCTGCTTCGTCATCTCTTATGTTCACAAACACATCGTACAAGTTCTCTGAATTAAAAGAATAACAAGGATCACTTTGCTGGTGATTAATGATAACACAAGAACAGCAAAAGGAAAATGGATAAGCCTCTTCTATATTAACAAAACTAAAGCTGCTTTTTTTCTTTGCCCTTTTATTTTCCTTGATTACTTAATATTTTTTTCTAATGAGAATTCAAGGAAGACAATACGTGCAGTCATCTAGCAATTTAATTACAAATCATCTAAAAATTCAAAATAAAGTTCCAGAAATCACCAGGAACAAAAAAAATGAGGTGAATTGATAAAAAAAGAGGTGAACATACATGTGCATAGGACTTGCACACATGGACACCACTTACAACCCAAAAGCTAAGCTATTGGGTTATGGGCTACTCTTGTATATAAGACCCCTGCACCTCTCATTCCTTTCCAATGTAGGATCTCTTCATTACTTCATACACTACTCACGTGAATCCCAACAATCTCCTCCTCACATAAAGAGTCTTTTCCACATTGGGAACTCCATACTCCCCAATAGAAGCTATTATCATATTGCCAAGCTTGATGCAGACCAACCAAGAGCCCTTTGCTCACGACCATAGGGGAGCCAACTATGGGAGCCCATTCTGATGGGTGGAGACATCATGGGAGACCCAACTGCTCTTGCCAACTACTCACCCATGGGGAAGACAGCAAGCCATGGGAGTTCATTGCATGCATCTATCAACACTTGTGACCAGCCAAACCTTCAGCTCTGATACTACTGTTGTGCATTGAGGGGAGTCACCAAAACCAAGGGCTCATACACATACATGCACGTAGGACTTACACACAAGATGGACACCACTTACAACCCAAAAGCCTATGCTATGGGCCACTCTTGTATATATGTCCCTTGCACTTATCATTCCTTTCCAATGTGGGACTCTCTTCATACACTACTCATACATGAATCCCAACAAACAGAAGTAGTTTTGCAGCCAGGACCTCAGATTTTATGAGGTCATAAACCACAATATTGTTACATTGCCAGGTATAAATAAAGGTGTGGCATCCATTAGAAGTGGGGCATTACATTTTGTAAACTGAATGGTTTTTTCAAGTAACCATTACATGCTTCATCTATGTATATGGTAGGATCCACCACTAGCTCTTCCTCCCCGCCCCCCAAGCCAACAGAGAAAATTAAAAAAAAAAAAAAAAAGATGATTTTTTTTTTGATCAATAACACTTTCATTAATTCATCAGTAGAAAATTTACAAGTGGAAGACAAACACACTTATCTTCCAAGTCACAAAGAACTTCAAGAAAGGAAAGAAGAAAATACAAAGATA